CTGGAAGAACTTTGCTCCTCAGTAGATTAGACTTGGAGAATAAGAAAATCCTATAGCCACTATCACCCAGATTGACCAAGTAAAGGTAGCAAAATAAAGTATATGGGTTTATTTTCTCAGTGAGTCTATGCAAAGGAGAGAAATGGCAAATGACGTGGGGAGGGGAAAGAAAACCTTTGGATTTGGCCGCAGCCCTACAAATGATTCTTGCAGAGAGCCAGAAGCACATGCCCATTCTCCATCAGCCATCCGATGACTGCCTCTGCTGTACAGTGTGTTAAAAAAAAAAACCAAAGCCACTTTTGTTTTCGTTTAAAATGAAAACATCTCATTTCCTATAAATATATACATATATATATAAGATTCACAATGAAGTAGAATACAAAACCAGGGAGTTCAACTAGTCTTAATGATGTTCAGTTTTTCCCAAAAGAATTATGTGCTGGGCCAATAAACCACTTCCAGTCTCTTATTATGGAAGGGGAAAAACAAAGACTAAGAGTGGAGCATCCCCAGAGCATGGAGCAGTACTTCAGAAAAATCACTTTGTTTCCCACCAGAAGGAAAATACTTAGTTGTCAGGACAATGAAGACCTACAGGCAGGGGGCTTTACACAAAGGGAGACTCTGAAGTTAGAAGGAAAAAAAAAAAAAAAACAGAAAGAAGACAGTAAGTGCTTGAGTTAAATATGACAAAGGGAATGATTTAGAAGGGCTTCTAATGAGTCTTCTAGGCAAAAGATGAGCCTTGTAGGAGCACCCTGTGAGCATTCTGTCCATCTTGTTCTTGAAAGAGAAAAGCAAAGAGTCCTGACGTTACTGATCTCGACCTTACAGGCTGAAGTTGACACGCGTTACCTCTCCTTTGGAAGAGTTGCGCACAGGTTGATCTGTTACCACAGCTTCTAAACTGGAAGATGTAACCTGCTCATCACAGACACAGGCTTACCTAAGAGTCACTTTAAAACATTAAAGGACAAGGTAGGAAAATCATTTTCAAAGTGAACTCTGTCATGGGAGCATCTGTGCATCAGGAGGACATGTGTTCATCAGCAGGTAGCCTCCCACAGAAGGAAGTTCTAATACGCAGCTAAACAAGAACTCTCATCTACAGAAGTAGTTCGTTGGCAGATACCTCTCTTCCTTCTTGCCCTGGGTATTTGGGGAAGAAGTGGCTTCAGCAGGTACAAGTTCAGCTGATGGACTGATAATCTGGTTCATTGAAAGGGACTGGTTATTGGGGAGTGTGTGCGTAGATGTTGCAATGATGCAATGACTCTGCTCAGACAAAACGGAGTCACACAAACAGAAAATATTTCAGTAAATGTCTATATACGTATACAACTACTCAAACGCCTAGTTCAAACAACAGAAAAAATCAACAACAATGAAATTACTGGGGTCTTGTGCAATTAGTGTGCCCCAAAATAAAGCATTCTTTTATTTACTACCATTGATAATTGCACATTCACAGACTTCATTTAAATGGGCTCATCTTAGGAGTTGGCAGGTGGTATGGTCGTTAAGGGTACTGGACTCCCACATGGCCAACCGTAGTTTGAGTCCCAGACCCAGTGACTTGCTTTCTCATTTTCTCTTTCACTCTGTCCCTCTCTGGTCAAATTAAAATAAATAACGAAATGAATGAATAAATAAATAAAGTTCAATAAAATAATTCTTTAAAATAAATAAATAGATGGAATCATGTTAGATATACTCTAGTGTCTGGCTTCATTTGTTCTGCCTAATATTTGTAAGAATTCTCCATACTCCTGCATAAATCAGTTTTTGTTGCTGCTGCTGCTGTGTGTAGTATTGCATTATATGTACAAAGACTTTTAAAATCCTTTCTACTATTAATAGGTATTTGGGTGATTTCCATTTTGAGACTAATATAGACAAAACTCTTATGAACATTCTGGTACATCTTTAAATCGTATATTCTTATCCTTTTTGAATGCGGAAATCAAGACTTCAAAGCCTAATATAGGCCTGAAATTCCAGCAGTTCTTCATACCACACTTACACACATCCAAGAAAGCAAAAAAGGAGAGACTTGGATATTGTGCTTAGTTAGCTGTCTTGTACTTTCCTATATTTTTATTCTTCAGGTATCTCTGCTTTTAGGAAATACCACTTGAAAAGTAGCTAAATTTCCCTTTTGCAAGCTGATATTTTTTCAGCAGAAATCTGAAGTACTATATAAGAAACCAATTTATAACTGATTTTGAAAATGAACCTTTCTATCAACCTTCAACCTTTTTCTGAGGAAGCTGAATGTATTAACTCATTCCAGATGCTAAATAAATATACTAGTCTTTTCCATCAAAATATATAACGCTGGGGTCAGCACGTGGCATGGTGGTTATAGCTTTTGGAATCCCATATAGTTGAGCATGGTCTGAGTCCCAGACCCATTGACTTGAAAGACATGCCAAATGAGTGTGCATGCATGCCCAAAATCCCAAGAGAAGAATGAAGGAGAAGGGATTGTGGCATGGCCATCTCCCCTGGGGGTGATTTCTCACCTTTTCTCTCTCCTTGGCGAGCACATGAACTCTACAGCAAAAACCTAATGAGCCCTATATCAAAAACCTGAAAAAAAAATTAAAACTAAATGCAGTGAGGGATCTGTGGGCAGGAAGATGTCTGAATTCCCCTTTTTCCTCCCAGCAGGCCTATAGCACAATGCTGGCCTTAAAGACTAGAGCATAAGACCAATCTCGCTCATGCAGAATATCTATCCATAGCCAAAGGTATGGTGATACAAGTTTTCATCAATATTTTGATTTGTGATGCTGAAAGACTTACACTAAAGTAATACAAAAGGTAAATGATTTCTTATTTCAAAAATCAGAGAGGAAACCAATGATATTAATAGTCTTATTAAAACAACTATAAGTCTACTAGACAGTGAACAAGTCAAAACAGGTTTGGTAATACTACAAAATTCAATTAAACTCTCCTTTTCATAGGGGATTGTCTAGTCCTACCATGCAGCTTTCTATTTTCTTCCTAGAGTTAAACATCACACAGATATCAAATAACATTGTCCTAGGAGCTGTTTTCCTTGCCAGCTCACAGTGCCACCTGTGGCTGAACTCTGGCTCTGGTATGCAGCATGCATTTATGCTTCTCTGTTTTCACTCATGGGCCCTTGACCTTTAGCCTTCCATTACTATCACTGCAGTTTCCCTGTTTCCCCAGTATTCTATTTATAGTGACACATTTAAGAGATGGAAAGCAGATTGCAATTTTATGGACTTCCAATAAATGAGATTAACAGAAATTTTTTCAGACCACGGGGAGCCCACGATCACAACAGCACATTCCCAGAGGGGAACATGTTGAAGGAGTCAGTGGCAGCAACCTCTAGCATCTGGTGTTAAATATCCCTGAGTCCTATATACCCTCTTCCCATTACCTTCAGTATAGAAGAAAAAGTTGCAGATTTCCAGGCTGTTCACACACAATCAGGCTTGTCTCTCTGGTCAGCTATGGACAACCTCACTACTAGTCAGCTAGAGAAGTGAGTGAGTAGAAAATCAGACTTGGAGGAAATCAAGTTAAGAAGGACAATAAAATGGGTGAGATGGACAGATACAGATTTAGGACTCCCTTGCGCAGCATCTGCACCCATAAAGATGGTGGAGTTGTACCCCAAAGGTTGTTGAGAGGTAAGAGAAGGTAAAGGAGGGCATTGCAGAGGTTTTCCTTGCGGAATATATGGACATAGACATTGCCCCAAGCATCCACATAGAGACAAGTAACGCGCTTCATGCAATTTACAAAAGGGCAGACACCACGTAACGCTCTGTGCTAGGCTCAGTTTAGCTCAAAGAACAAGGACAGAGCAAGGCTTAACCTCAGGCAGAAGGCTGGTGCTAGGTGCATGGACTCAGGGAGTCCAGCCAGAGGGGTGTGCCCACTGAGTGTCTGGAGAGGTGCCTATCACTTCTTTCAGCTCCAGGTTTTCTCTGTCCTTTCTCGAGAGAAATATTCAGACTAACAAATGTGGCTACTTTCAAGTATTGTATATTCTAGGAGGAGATGTGGCGGGTGGTGGGGCAGGGGGAGGGGGACCTGCAGTCCCAAACAAATCAGCATGTGCCCTGTGGCATCTGCAGGTGGTAGGGATGTGTGACAAGACAAGAGGTCCTGATGACAAGCAGCTAAAAGTCATCATGCAACAGACGTGGCAGGCACCCCTTGCTACTTCTGTCCTCAGACCACTCACAGCCGGTCTGGCTCTCAGTCTCCATTTGGAAAGGCTGACTCCAGGTTGGACCAGGCCCGCAAAGGCGCCCATGACCCCAGGCCTACACAAAGCAGCAAAACCAGGTGAGAGGCAGGCGCCTAGTCTCATACGCTGAGACTCCTGCCTGGTTTTCAGAGCCCCAAGGCGCTGGGGCTGGCTGGCATAGCAGGCAACCACCGAGCAGGGTCCCCAGCTACCGCTCCCGTGGGAAAATACGGAGTCCCC